AGACACCACACTCTACCTTCCAGGTACCTCTGCTGTTCAGTAATCTGGAAGCTCCCCAAATCCTATTCTTGTGGGTGTTCATTATGTAATCATGATAGATTACATCATTGGTCTTTGGTGATCACCTCAGCTTCAGTCCCTGTCCCCTCTGGAGGTTAGGAATGATGATATGGAGGCGGTGAGGGAGGTCCTGAAAGTTAGTACCCTTTAATCATATGGTTATCTCTCCTTGCAAGCAGTTCCCATCCTGAGGCGCCTCAAGAACCCACCAAGAGTTGCCTCATTAGCACAAAAGATGCTCTTGTCATTCAGGAAATTACAAAGGTCTTAAGAGCTCTGTCAAGAACCAGAGTCACTGACTCAACCTTAGAACAGTAGGTTCTGCTTGTGCTTCTATCTATAAGGGTATTATGAGCTTGGTCTCAGGAACCTGGGCAAAGACCAAACATTTATTTATTACATCATAGTATCACAGATTCTTATCAAATAACTCTAAGGAAAGGTTTTTTCCACCCAGTTGCCTCTTTCAATATTTGAAGCATCCACAGCAAATGGAGTCAGTGGAAGAGAATAGGTCCTGCAGGATTGTCTGTCCCCAAGAGCCTGTCCATGACTCCAGTCACACTCAAAAATCATTTTCATTTGAGATCAAAGAGTATATGCTGAAAAATAGAAGGTAGAGGTGGCAACTAGAATAGAAAGCGCAAGGAGAAGATATTTGGGAATGGAAGTTTTGGAGAGGTTTTTGGTTGAGTGCTAGGTTTTGGTGTGTTTGATTACGTGGTATCAAAATCATTGAAAAAATGGAACCAGGTACAGAGATGCACACCTGTAGTCCCAGTGGGAGGCTGAGGCAGGAGGATCACAAGGTCAAAGCCAGCCTCAGCAACTTAATGAGGCCCTCAGCAACTTAGTGAGACCCTGTCTCAAAATAAAATAAAATATAAAAAAGACTAGAATGTGGCTCAGTGGTTAATGAAATATGTATATATATATATATTATATATATGATATATATATGATATTTTCTTCTTGGGGGGAAAATCATTTTTGTGAACTATTCAGATATTTTTTTAATTGTTGAAATTAAACTGTTTCACAGAAGAGCAGGACAGAAAATTGGTTATATTTTGATGTTCTGTTTTAGGCTTCTTCAGAAAGCTCAAAAAAATAAGGAATCATTGCAGACTGAACTCCAGGGAAGACATTCCTTCACAAAGGAAATAATTGCTTTGAAGAATGTATTTCAGCAGGCTTCAACTTCTTTCCAAAATATGGCATCAGAGGGCCACCCAGAAAGGGCAAAGCAGTTGGAGGTAAGTGAGGAATGAACTAGTGAACGTGGCTGATGTTGGCCCACAGCCTTGTATTCAGAGTCCTTGGGGCAGAGGTAACTCGTTGATTTGGGTTGGAAGAGTGATTGAAAAAAGATGCAAGGAGAGGGGGGAAGCACATGCAAAGGCCCTATGGAATGATGTGGGCAGAGCCAGGGGACCATGAGCAAAATTGAGAGCAGGCTGAGTGTGGACTAAAGAGCCCTTTTTCAAGCATGTTTCACGGGTGTTTGGTGAACAGGGGCCTCAGAGCCCGTTTGGGTAGCGTGTTACACTATTTTAGTAGGCCATGGTGTTTTGCCTCTGGTAGGGGGCGTGCACATACTGAGAGTCATTTGGGAGCTCATTTCTTCAGGGTGATCTCGCATTCCAGTTCAATGGTAACAGTCAAAAATGAGGTTTGGAAGCTGATTCAGAAGTTGCAGGCTGCGGTGAACCAGAGCTTTGGTGTTGATGTCCAGGAGCCCTCCCATCGGCACCAGCTCTGTTTAGCCCTGAATGACATCCTGTCCTCCCCGAGTCTAGATAAAGCAGGAGGACACTCACACCAGTCCACCTGTGTCTGGGTGGCTTTGTTCTTTAACTTTCTCCTTCTAGATTAATAAAGGAGAATCTGCGACACATCCCAGAGTCATTTAAAGTTGTGATCGCTCAGCGTCAGGACAGTGACTCAGTCCATTAAAACAAATAATGCACCAACAGCTCCTGTAAAAACCAAACAACAAAAAAGCCACAGTAAAGTCAAGAAGTATTTTTCCACTTGATCTTTGGGAAACTTTCCCAAACAAATGAGTTTCTCCTTTATAATTACTAGAGGAGAACAGTCAGATCAGATTTTATTTCTAGGCCACAACCAATGGACTGTTTGTTCAGGTTTCTTTTATCTCCCCAAACCTGCATTCTTTGTAAGGAACTGGAACCCTCCCTTTTGAAAAAAGCTGAGCTCTGCTGGGCTGTCTAATTACAAGAAAGGGACACTTTTGCTTCAAGCGTGGGCTTTTAGTGGCCTTGACTCATTGTGATGATAATGTAGGAAGAAGTAGAAATAGAAACAAGTTAATAACAACACCAAAGAAAAACTTCTTTGAAACTTTTTTTTGCTACTTGTAGCTTTTAAGATCCGAGCTGCGACTGAGATACCGTTTAATCCTAGAGGTACTTTGGAAGCAGGGGACATTTGTAATGTCTTTTTGCCACAATGGTTTGACACTCTGAAGAGAGATCAAGTTTAATTCTTACAAATTAGAAAGCATCCTCTGACCAAACCAAGTATCTCCTGGGTTCAGTCAACTCCTAACAATAGTGAGTTTTGTCCAGCAAGGTTTGTTTCTTTGAATCACGAGGACCAGGAGGAGCTGGAAAGCAGCTTTTTTGCCTTTTAGAGCTGAACTTTCCCCACCCAGTGTGGAAACTCTCTTGACGTTTTTAGGAGCTTCAGAGCATTCTTAAGAAAGGCAAGCTCACTTTCAAGAGTATCATGGAAAAACTGCGAATCCAGTACTGTGAAATGTACACCATAGTCCCTGCAGAGATGGAGTCCCGGGTGGAGGAATGCAGAAAAGCTTTAGAAGACATAGATGAGAAGGTAATAATAATGTTCTTACTTGTACTGTCCTTTATGGGGTTGAATGACTAGAAGAAAATGTTCTCTAATGCCACATTTTTCATTTGCCCTGATTTTAGCTCTGACTGGTTTGAGCTTGGTTAAATGGCAGTTTTGTGTATTGAATACTGAGATTAATAGGCTTGAAATAAGTGACTTAAATAACATAATATTAATCTGTATATATTTAGTCATCCAGATGCTTA